CCTAATGTAGCCCACAAAAAAAAAACAATGGGGGTAGACCTCTCTGTATCATCTTACATTTTGGCATCCAGCGAAGGCATGCCGAGAGGCCTTCTACCCCTATCCACAAGCCTGATTGGTCTTTATTGCTGCTTACAGTGCTGTCAGTCTAATATTATGAACGTGCTTACAGGAGGGGATGGCATGGAGATCTATCATTATTGGGTAAGGGTTTTGCACAGTTTTCATTCCACCTTTAATTTTAATCTTTACATACTTTCTGCATGATCTCATATTCACATGGAGCTCCTCCCACAAACACACTAGTAGCTTATTTTTATTCATGCATTAAAAATATATAATAACAAGAATGTGAAAATAGAAATTCAAATGGCAATATTTTTGCTTTTATTAACGCCAGTCAAATAATTAATTAGTAAACCTCTGGTGATAACGAGGGGCCAATTCTAGTTCAAGTTAGGAGTTTATGCACTGCCTTGGATTACCAAAGTTAAGACCTCAGTCACATGGGACATATCAATGCGTACCCCGTGTTTACCTGCACAGGAATGCACAGGTGTTCTGTGCACCCCCATGCAGAAAGTCCAATTGATGTCTATTGGGTCGCAGCAGATGCAGAGACACAACCATTGCTCCCAATCTGATATTTGTGCATGTGCAATTCTGTGTCTCTGAACTCATACTGCCTGGGTTTGGCACCATACTTCTTGCATTCCAAGCATTCATCATTGGGCAAATACTGCCCTAAACATAAGTACTTCTAGGTGCACCATCCAACGCCATCCAGCCATATCAGCTGTCAGCCACATATAGAGTTTGACAGGCTGCTGGCAATGGGTCTGGAGGAGACACCTGTGCCTACAGCTAAATGCCAGAGCCTCCAGCATCAGGGCTAAATGCCCAGCGTGCATGGGGCCTAACCAGTTAAGCTACCTGGCTCTGCAGCTCCAGCCCTAACCTTCTCACTAGATCTGTGTGTTAGCCCATGACTGTGGCAGTTCATTGCCATGACTGACCAATATTAAGGGGTCGGTACCACCTATAAGAAAGTTTGGCCATTTATGTTTAAAACAGAGTACCACAGGTTTGAGGGTCCTGGGGTGGTTTAAAGACTATCCAAGGTATCATGCAGGTGCCTTTAAACTAATGTCAAGCTGACCTTACCCAGTATAATCTGACTCCACAGTCTTTTTTAGTTTTACTAAAACCATATACTATGAGGACCTACCTAAACAATCCATTCAATTTATTTGCAATCAGGCAGGACCTTGTAGTCTGCATTCATTGGTAGATCTAAAGGATATTGTACAGTCATTTTGTTACATGTGCACAGGATTCCAGGGGTGGGACCTGGATGGGAGATATATTTCCCAACTATCTGGGTTGTGGTCCCTTTAAGGGGGGGGATGATGGGAACACATTTTAGTACCCAGGGGTTCTCACCCATGAAGTGTGAAGGATCCGGACTGATCTACAGTGTTCTCTCAATTGGTAGGTTGTCAAATGGGACCCAGAATTCGGAGACTCACAGAGACTTTATGTGGTAAAGAGCCTCCAACCCCTGATTATAGGGACTTTGGTTCTGCAAGGGTTAATCCACTTGCAGGGAAGGCCTGAAAAGGAACAGGAAGGAGTCAGTACCTGTTTGTGTGGTACAGTGGAGTGGTACACAGCTGTGAGCAAATGTGAACCGCCTTGCAACTGAGAACTTTTGTGGCCACCCTGAAGCAGACAGGAACCTTAAACCCTGGTGTGGGATTGGTATACTGACGGTGAGTTTGAGAAATGTGTAATTTTTAGTATATCAGAATTATAAATTGTTTTTCACTTGTTTTGCTGAAGAAAGCTGTTTTGTTTGCTTGATTTGGGGAAGGGGGTCAATAAAGACTTACAAACAACTGGCTGGTGACCTTGGGCTCCACATATTAAATAAGTATGGTCAACGTAAAGAGACACAGACACTGTGGGGTTTATTTACTAAACCTGGAGAGTGCAAAGTCAGGCTCACTTTTGCATAGAAACATCAGCTTCTAACCTCAGCTTGTTCAATTAAGCTTTGGCAATGAAACCTGGAAGCCATTGGTTTCTATGCAGAAGTGAGCCTGACTTTGCACTCTCCAGGTTTTTCGTAAATAAACCCCTGTGAGACATTTCATTTTGGAAACCCCCCCCTAAACTCCTTATGCCCATGACTTCAGTGATCCCCTGCAGATCCTTCCTCCATCTCAGCAAGTTATGGGTATAACATGTCGCAGTATTCAAGACTTCTGGGACGGGGGGGGGGGGGCAAGGTGAGAATGTCTAGGCAGTGTCTGTACAGCACACTTGGATTGGAAGGAAGTGGGGTAGTACTGTGGGCCGATCAGACTTTATTGCTGTGAACAGTGCTGTCAGTCTAACATTGTGAATGTGCTTACAGGAGAGAAATGCATATAGAATCTTCATTGGTGGTATTTTGCACTCTTGCCTTGCAGCTCTGCGTCACAGTTTGCAATCCTACCTTGGATACTCTCTGCATGGAGTTTGTATACAGTTCCAAATTTGCATAGGCTTCCTCCCATAATCACACTGGTAGATTAATTGGCTTACTTCTATAGGTATATGACATACTTGTGATCCTGTCGCTGTGGTGACAACTTTTCCAGCAACAAGTTTGCTAGAAAGGACAAATAAACAGGACAAATTGTGAATGCTTTTATATACCATATGGGCTGCATAATATGTTAGTGCTATAGAATAATTAAATTGTGTTGCTGCTGTGCTTATCAAATGAAGGTGAAGGTAAGCCAATGATATAGAATAAGCATTATCTCAGTCTTCTACAGGATTGCCAATGGCTACAATATGCAATCTGCTGACAATAGCTATGAAATGATGTTCGTAAAAACAATGAATTAATTTGCATTTCACAATACGAGATGATTTCCGACACACATGTACTATGGCAAACGCATCCTAGAGAGAAAGAGAAAGTGATGCTAAATTGTCAGCTGGTGAAAAAAAAAAGCACAGCAGTTAAAAACATATTTCGTAAAGATTGCTTCAGGGGAGTGTGAAAAGACGCATCTTGAACAATACATCAAACACAAAACGACATGTGAGAACCTGGAGTGGTGTTGAGATAATTATCATATTCAAATTCAATCTGCCAATGAAAAGAAGGGAAATTGTGTGACCCAGTTTCGGCTCAGGAAGGAACATTTCCAAAATCTGTCCCCCCGCTATTCAGGTAACAACTGTAATAGAGGTAATCGTGCAGGTAAAAGAAAACTCAATTCTAAACTGTAAAAACATTAAGAGCCAGTTACATTTGCATGTTATGTCACACATTAACGAACGTTGCATTAAGGCAGCCCATTGGAATCAACGGGCCTCTGATACACCAAAATGCCCCAAAAAAGTCAACATTTTTGCTGCAACGTGCTGTGATGGGTTTCATGGTGTTTCAGCACATTGTGCGTTGTCTTAATGTGTTGGAGTGCTATTAACAATGAATGGCACTGCAATGCATCAATACATGTAATGTGCATTGCTGTTACTGCAACACATAGATGTAAATCATTTCTACATTTTGTAAATCAAAAATGTATACTATTCAGGAAGCACAATTTTGGACAACCAAGACAATTGTTGGCAGTGAAATTGCTAAACCTGTTAAAGAAATAAAGGTAAAAAATACTGACCTTCCACCCCAGCTTCCGGTCACTTCCTGTAGGTGACATCACTTAGCCGCACTGCGAGATCCCTAAAGCTCAAAACCCCAAAAATCTAAAGAAGATGCTTGAGAGTACGAAGGAATGCATTCTCATGGGATTTGGAAACTTCGGCTTTCACAAGATCCTGTAAGAAGGCTAAATGATAAGCTTACCAAGGCAAATATGCCAGAAGGTAAAGGGGTGCAGGGTTCAAATTCTTTTTCTCATTTTTTTTCCCTCAACTTTTCTGTTTTTTTGTGCTTTTTTATTTTGAGGGTGGTGTACTCTTCTCCTGCACATATTGCCCCACTATAATACCCTCCACACTCCTCTCTGCACATACTGCCCACTACCATACCCACCATCTTCCTCTCCTGTACATAGTGCCCACTGTCATACCCTCCACACTCATCTCCTGCACATACTGCCCACTGTCATACCCTTCACACTCCTCTCCTGTACATACTGCCCACTGTTATACCCACCACACTCCTCTCCTGTACATACTGCCCACTGTCATACCCACCACTCCTCTCCTGTACATACTGCCCACTGTCATACCCACCACACTCCACTCCTGTACATACTGCCCACTGTCATACCCACCACACTCCTCTCCTGCACATACTGCCCACTGTCATACCCTCCACACTCATCTCCTGCACATACTGCCCACTGTCATACCCTTCTCACTCCTCTCCTGTACATACTGCCCACTGTCATACCCTTCTCACGCCTCTTCTGTACATACTGCCCACTGTCATACCCTTCTCACTCCTCTCCTGTACATAGTGCCCTCTGTTATACTCTCCACACTCCTCTCCTGTACATACTGCCCACTGTCATACCCTCCACACTCATTTCCTGCACATACTGCCCACTGTCATACCCTTCACACTCCTCTCCTGTACATACGGCCCACTGTCATACCCTTCACACTCCTCTCCTGTACATACTGCCCACTGTCATACCCTTCTCATTCCTCTCCTGTACATAATGCCCACTGTCATACCCTTCTCACTCCTCTCCTGTACATACTGCCCTCTGTCATACCCACCACACTCCTCTCCTGTACATACTGCTCACTGTCATACCCTTCTCACGCCTCTCCTGTACATGCTGCCTACTGTCATACCCTTCTCACTCCTCTCCTGTACATACTGCCAACTGTTATACCCACCACACTCCTCTCCTGTACATACTTCCCACTGTCATACCCTCCACACTCATCTCCTGCACATACTGCCCACTGTCATACCCTTCTCACTCCTCTCCTGTACATACTGCCCACTGTCATACCCTTCTCACTCCTCTCCTGTACATACTGCCCACTGTCATACCCACCACTCTCCTCTCCTGTACATACTGCCCACTGTCATACCCACCACACTCCTCTCCTGTACATACTGCCCACTGTCATACCCACCACACTCCTCTCCTGCACATACTGCCTACTGTCATACGCTCCTCACACCTCTCCTGCACATATTGTCCATGGTCATACACTGCACTCTGCACATGGTCATACCCTCCACACTCCACTCTGCACATACTGCCCACTGTCATACCCCTTACACTCCTCTCCTGTATACATTGCCATCTTGCATAACCTCCGCACGCCTCTCCTGTACATATTGCCCACTGTCATAGGAAGCACACAGGTGGCGCAAACACCTAGTGCATTATCCAAGGTTTATTTTGAAAGAAAAAAAGACAAAAAACATACAAAATGAAGCGATTATAAAAGCCTGAATGCCTATATGAGCTCTGAGAAAGGGACACATTCCCGGGCCGACCGTACCACCAGTCGGACATCTTACCATCATTGTAGGTCATCATTGAGGCATTCAGGCTTTTATATTCTCTTCATTTTGTGAGTATGTTTTTGTCTTTTTTTCTTTCAAAATAAACCTTGGATAATGCGCTAGGTGTTTGCACCACCTGTGTGCTTCCTTTCCAGTTTTGATGATTTCCCAGTCTGAGGAGGACATCACCACCGAGAATTTATCCAAGGCTATCAGCACACTGAAATCCCTGAAATCCCCCTCCCCCCTTTGATGCGAGTTGGTGCTTTTCATCCTTTTTGCCCACTGTCATACCCTCTGCACTCTTCTCCTGCACATATTGCCCACTGTCATACCCTCTGCACTCTTCTCCTGCACATATTGCCCACTGTCATACCCTCTGCAGTCCTTTCTGCACATACTGCCCACTGTCATATCCTCCACACTCCTCTCTACACATACTGCCCCATGTCATATCCTCCGAACTCTATGCACATACTGTCCCATGTCATACGCTTTGCACTCCTCTCTGCACATACTGTCCCATGTCATACACTCTGCACTCATCTCCTGCACATACTGCCCACTGTCATACCCTTCGCACTCCTCTCCTGCACATACTACCCACTGTCATACCCACCACACTCCTCTCCTGCACATACCGCCACTTTCATACCCTCCACACTCCTCTCCTGTACATACTGCCCACTGCCATACCCTCCACACTCCTCTCCTGCACATACTGCCCACTGTCATACCCTCCGCACTCCTCTCCTGTACATACTGCCCACTGTCATACCCTCTGCACTCCTCTCCTGCACATACTGCCCACTGTTGTACCCTCTGCACTCCTCGCCTGCACATACTGCTCACTGACATATCCTCTGCACTCCTCTCCTGCACACACTGGCCACTGTCATACCCTCTGCACTCCTCGCCTGCACATACTGCTCACTGACATATCCTCTGCACTCCTCTCCTGCACACACTGGCCACTGTCATACCCTCTGCACTCCTCTCCTGCACATACTGTCCACTGTCATACCCTCTGCACTCCTCTCCTGCACATACTGCCCACTGTCATACCCTCTGCATTTCTCTCTGCACATACTCCCACTGTCATACCCTCCGCACTCCTCTCCTGCACATACTGCCCACTGTCATACCCTTCACACTTCTCTCTGCACATACTCCCCACTGTCATACCCTTCGCACTTCTCTCTGCACATCCCCCCCACTGTCATACCCTTTGCACTCCTGCCTGCACATACTCACCACTGTCATATCCTGCACACTCCTTTCTTGCACATACTGCCCTGTCATACCATGGATAACCTTGTTGTGCATGTAAATGTGTGTATGTTGGCTGCATTTTGGGTACTATTACCAATTATTGGTGCTGAAAGGGTGACATATTTTTGGTGCATTCCATGAATGCAAATGACATTGCACAAATATGCATTGAACCTTAGTTAGCAAAGGTGTTGGGGGGGGGGGGGGGGGGGAGTAACAGTTTAAGACTAGATAGGTGTAAGCTGGAATTCCACTTTATAGGTTATAAAGTGGCTGTGTTGTGGTTTGATTGGGGCCACATGCTGTGGTGTTCCCTAGCAGTGATCTGTGATCTGGTGCAAAAAAAAATCTGGTCACTGCCTACAGTAGGAAGAAGGCCTTCACTACGTCGGGGTGCATTGGCACACAATTCACAATGACTGAGTTGTCGTAATGCAACTCACCTTAATGTGTGGTGTAATATGTGTTCATTACCAAATGGTGGAGATGTAAACCCGACCTTCAGAAGAAGGAGCCTATTGAGCATGCTCTGAAATGCATTACCGCCCCCTTCACCTCCTACATCCGACTCTGCTCTCCAAGCTTCATTTTGATGCACAGGCACATCCTGGACTCTACTTTCTGATCCTATAGACCAGTGATGGCAAACCTTTTTGAGCCCGAGTGCCCAAACTGCAACCCAAAACCAACTTATTTCTTTCAAAGTGCCAACACTGCAATGAAACCTGAATATCGAGCTTTTGGTTTAGAAAAAACAACTCGTACAGTAGTGCAAACTAATTAACAGTACAGGGATGACCAGAGACTGCGGACACAGTACAGGGATGACCAGAGACTGCGGACACAGTACAGGGATGACCAGAGACTGCGGACACAGTACAGGAGATGATCAGAGACCGCGGACACAGTACAGGGATGACCAGAGACTGCGGACAGTACAGGGATGACCAGAGACTGCGGACAGTACAGGGATGACCAGAGACTGCGGACACAGTACAGGGATGACCAGAGACTGCGGACACAGTACAGGGATGACCAGAGACTGCGGACACAGTACAGGGATGACCAGAGACTGCGGACAGTACAGGGATGACCAGAGACTGCGGACACAGTACAGGGATGACCAGAGACTGCGGACACAGTACAGGGATGACCAGAGACTGCGGACACAGTACAGGGATGACCAGAGACTGCGGACAGTACAGGGATGACCAGAGACTGCGGACACAGTACAGGAGATGACCAGAGACTGCGGACACAGTACAAGAGATGACCAGAGACTGCGGACACAGTACAGGGGATGACCAGAGACTGCGGACAGTACAGGGATGACCAGAGACTGCGGACACAGTACAGGAGATGACCAGAGACTGCGGACACAGTACAGGAGATGACCAGAGACTGCGGACACAGTACAGGAGATGACCAGAGACTGCGGACACAGTACAGGAGATGACCAGAGACTGCGGACACAGTACAGGAGATGACCAGAGACTGCGGACACAGTACAGAAGATGAACAGACACTGCGAACAGTACAGGAGATGACCAGAGACTGCGGACAGTACAGGGATGACCAGAGACTGCGGACAGTACAGGGATGACCAGAGACTGCGGACACAGTACAGGGATGACCAGAGACTGCGGACACAGTATAGGGATGACCAGAGACTGCGGACACAGTACAGGGATGACCAGAGACTGCGGACACAGTACAGGGATGACCAGAGACTGCAGACACAGTACAGGGATGACCAGAGACTGCAGACACAGTACAGGGATGACCAGAGACTGCGGACACAGTACAGGGATGACCAGAGACTGCGGACACAGTACAGGGATGACCAGAGACTGCAGACACAGTACAGGGATGACCAGAGACTGCAGACACAGTACAGGGATGACCAGAGACTGCAGACACAGTACAGGGATGACCAGAGACTGCGGACACAGTACAGGAGATGACCAGAGACTGCGGACAGTACAGGAGATGACCAGAGACTGCGGACACAGTACAGGAGATGACCAGAGACTGCGGACACAGTACAGGAGATGACCAGAGACTGCGGACACAGTACAGGAGATGACCAGAGACTGCGGACAGTACAGGAGATGACCAGAGACTGCGGACACAGTACAGGGATGACCAGAGACTGCGGACACAGAACAGGGATGACCAGAGACTGCGGACACAGTACAGGGATGACCAGAGACTGCGGACACAGTACAGGAGATGATCAGAGACTGCGGACAGTACAGGGATGACCAGAGACTGCGGACACAGTACAGGGATGACCAGAGACTGCGGACACAGTACAGGGATGACCAGAGACTGCGGACACAGTACAGGGATGACCAGAGACTGCGGACACAGTACAGGGATGACCAGAGACTGCGGACACAGTACAGGGATGACCAGAGACTGCGGACACAGTACAGGGATGACCAGAGACTGCGGACACAGTACAGGGATGACCAGAGACTGCGGACACAGTACAGGGATGACCAGAGACTGCGGACACAGTACAGGAGATGACCAGAGACTGCGAACAGTACAGAAGATGACCAGAGACTGCGGACAGTACAGGAGATGACCAGAGACTGCGGACAGTACAGGGATGACCAGAGACTGCGGACAGTACAGGGATGACCAGAGACTGCGGACACAGTACAGGGATGACCAGAGACTGAGACTGCGGACAGTACAGGGATGACCAGAGACTGCGGACAGTACAGGGATGACCAGAGACTGCGGACACAGTACAGGGATGACCAGAGACTGCGGACACAGTACAGGGATGACCAGTGACTGCGGACAGTACAGGGATGACCAGAGACTGCGGACACAGTACAGGGATGACCAGAGACTGCGGACACAGTACAGGGATGACCAGTGACTGCGGACACAGTACAGGGATGACCAGTGACTGCGGACAGTACAGGGATGACCAGAGACTGCGGACACAGTACAGGGATGACCAGAGACTGCGGACACAGTACAGGGATGACCAGAGACTGCGGACACAGTACAGGGATGACCAGAGACTGCGGACACAGTACAGGGATGACCAGAGACTGCGGACACAGTACAGGGATGACCAGAGACTGCGGACACAGTACAGGAGATGACCAGAGACTGCGGACACAGTACAGGAGATGACCAGAGACTGCGGACACAGTACAGGAGATGACCAGAGACTGCGGACACAGTACAGGGATGACCAGAGACTGCGGACAGCACAGGGATGACCAGAGACTGCGGACAGTACAGAGATGACTGCTGACCTTTGGGGAGGGAGGGGGAGCTGGTACCTGAATTTGACAGGTACCTGCTCTTACTTCCGCAGAGTTTTTTTTTTATCTTACCTGTTCCTTTATCCAGCCGCGCGCTGTCTTCCCGGCTTCTGTAGTGTGGGCGCTCGTCGGACAGCCGGATGCCCAGTGCGCATGCGCGAGAAGCGCTGCGCTTTGTGATTGGTCCGGCGGCTTCTGGGATCTGTCATGTGTCCCAGGTACCGCCTTACCATTCACAAAGAGCACTGCTTCTTGTGCATGCGCACTTGGGACCCGGCTGTCATGCACACTACAGCCGGGAAGACAGCGTGCCGCTGGATTCTCCTGGCTTGCCCACAGATAAGGCTCGGCGTGCCGGCTGTGGCACGCGTGCCACGGGTTCGCCATCACTGCTATAGACAGTTTGCTGCTGCTGGATGTCCCACCTGGATCTAATTACCACAGGATGAGTCTTTTTAACTGTTTATCTTGTAAGTGCAATGTATCCATTGTTTACTAAATAAATTGTCAATACTGCACTTAGAAGCGCCTGCCTCTCTTTTTCTTGTTACTGCATTAAAGCCTTTTCTTCCTTTTTGTTGATGCTGGCAATTAACCACTTGACCTCCAGAGGATTTACCCCCCTTAATGACCAGGCCTCTTTTTGCTACTCGGCGCTGCACTAATTCAACTGATAATTGCGCAGTCATGCAATGCTGCACCCAAACGAAATTTACGTCCTTTTTTTCACACAAATAGAGCTTTCTTTCGGTGTAATTTGATCACCTGTGTGCTTTTTTTCACGCTATAAACAAAAAAAAGCCAAAAATTTTTAAGAAAAACAATATTTTTTACTTTCAGCTATAAAAATATATAGTAAACTCAAAGTTGGTTATAAATTTAATCAGTGACTTATGGCAGCGACCAGCGACTTATGGCGGGACTGCGGCGGACATTCTGACATTGGGGGGTACTGACTTGGGGTCACTGACATCCCCAAAAACACTAATACAGTGATCAGTGCAAAAAAAAAAAAACACTGATACTGTACTAATGGCAATGGGGAGGAAGGGGTTAACTTTATTTTGCAGGGAAGGGTTATCTGAGTGAGGGGAGTGTTTTACTAGGGGGCGGGGGTGTGTACTGCACGGGACAAGGCTGATCGAGAGAGAGAAACTCTTCTTTCTCGATCAGCTCGTCTTCGAGCTGTCAGGGAAGTGACAGACAGCACAGCTACTGCAGCTGTGCTGTCTGTCACTGTTTGCCGCCGATCGCCGGGAAACAGCCAGTAAAGACCGGCTGTGACCCGGCGACTGACATCCGCGGTGGTTATCGGCGGGACAGATAGGGCAGCGGTCTGCCTCGCGCGCGCCCCCTGTTTACAAAACACGCATTTTAAAACGTGGTTTTGCCTGCCAGTGCCGCCCTGCCGCCGTATTTCTACAGTGGCAGGGCGGAAAGCGGTTAAATAGTTGAAGCTTACTATTCATGACTGTTAAAGGTTGCTGATTATTGTTATTTTACCAGTGTTCTGCTTTTATACAGTAGCTGGGGTTGTATATCCTGAACCCCTTACTCCTGTAGCCTACTAATACAGAGGTGTTACTAAAGAATTGTGTCTCTTGCATTATTATTCTATAATGTTGAAATATGTTGAGAGGCATGCAAGGTCAGGCATACCACTGGGGACAAGCATTATCAAGTGGCCCCTGCGGAGGTAAGTGCTACATACACAATCCTATAACCCAGCTGATCCAGAGGAAGGCAAAAGAAAAAAGCCCCAGCAAGCATGATCCAATTCACTTCCGTGAAGGAAAAAAATCAATCAGATATACCCCGGATCCACAATCTCTGGTGTTAGTACCTATAAATCTTAGTATCCAGTTATATTTTGTACGTTTAGGAATGCTTTCAGCTCTTTTATAAAACAATCTACTGTGCTAGCCAGAACCAGCTCTGGAGGGAGTCCATTCCACATTTTCAATGCTCTTACTGCAAAGAAGCCTGTAATGGGACATTTTGAGGGACATTTCCAGAGGCAAGTCCATGGCGATTTTCCTGGGGGGGCATTGCCAGGGGCATTTCTGGAGACATTTCAAAGGACATTTTGGGGGCATTTCTGAGGATATTGCCAGGAGTATTTCTGGGACATTTTTGGCATTCCCAGGAACATTTAAGGGAACATTAACTGAGGCATTTTTGGGGCATTTCCAGGGACCTTTCTGGAGGCATTTTTGTAGACTTTTCTTCTGATTTTTCTGAAGGCAATGTCATGGACATTTCCAGGAACATTTCTGGAAGCATTTCCAATGACATTTTGGGGTATTTCCTGGGGACATTCTGGGGCATTACTGGTGATATTTCTAGGGGCAATACTCCAGACATTTCTGGGACATTTTGGGGGCATTAGTGGGGATATTTCTGGTGATATTTCAAGCGCCAATACCCTGGACATTTCTGGGACATTTTGAGAGCATTTGTGGGGACATTTCTTGTGAAATTTCTAGGGGCAATACCCCGGACATTTTGGGGGCATTAGTGGGGACATTTCTCGTGAAATTTCTAGGGGCAATACCCCAGACATTTTGGGGGCATTTGTGGGGACATTTCTCGTGAAATTGCTAGGGGCAATACCCCTGATATTTTGGGGGCATTAGTGGGGACATTTCTTGTGAAATTTCTAGGGGCAATACCCAGGAAATGTCTGGGGAGATTTTGGGGTATTTCTGCTGATATTTCTGAGGGCAATGCCAAGGAAATTTCTAAAGGTATTTCCATGGACATTTCTGGGGACATTTTGGGGCATATCTGGATTTCTGGTGATACTTCTAGAGACAATACCCAGGACATGTCTGGGAAATTTTGGGGGTATTTCTGATGATATTTCTGGGGGCAATGCCGAGGAAATTTCCAGAGGTATTTCCATGGACATTTTCTGGGGACATTTTCGGGCATTTCTGGTGATACTTCTGGAGACAATACCCAGGACATGTTTGGGGGCATTTCTGGGGACGTTTTGAGGTATTTCTGGTGATATATCTGGGGGCAATGCCCAGGACATTTCTGAAGGTATTTCTAGGGACATTTTGGGGGCATTTCTGGGGACGACTTGGGGCATTTCTGGTGATATTTCAGGGGGCAACGCCCAGGAGATTTTGGGGCATTTCTGTGATCATTTCCGGTGATACTTCTAGAGGCAGTACCCAGGACATGTCTGGGACATTTTGGGGGCATTTCTGGGGACGACTTGGGGCATTTCTGGTGATATTTCTGGGGGCAATGCCTGGGACATTTTGGGGCATTTCTGTGGATATTTCTGGTGATATTTCTAAAGGCAATACCCAGGACAATTCTGGGGATTTCTGGTGATATTTCTGGGTCAATGGTGGGGACATTTCCGGGGCCATTTCCAAGGATGCTGGCAGGAGCCAGCAGCATTTTGGGGGACATTTTTGGCATTTGATATTTTCAGGAACGTTTAAGGTGACATTTCTGGAGACATTTCAGGAGGATTTCCAGGGGAATTTCAAGGACATTATCTGGGACGCTTCCAAGAGCAATTCCAGAGACATTTTGGAGATGTTTCCAGAGATATTTCAGGGGACATTTCCTACATTTTACTGAGAAACTTGTGGGGACATTTCCGGCGCCCCTTCCATGGACAAGTGTTCACATTCTGCCCCCCCCCCTTCAGCATTTTCTGTACATCACACTGACTGATATCGTATCCTAGCAACACATTGCTCAACTCCCTCTATCCCAGCACGTGAAGGGTACAGATCATGTGACGCCCGGAGGCGGAGCCATAGTCTGGGAGAACGGTGGCGTATATCCGGAATACACAGCACGTGTCCGGTGAAGCGGCGGTGATCGGTGTGGGTGACGTCACGTAGGTGATCCGCCGACAATGAAGATCACTCGGCAGAAACACGCCAAGAAGAACCTGAGCTTTTACCGGAACAATTTCCGCTTCCGGGAGCCCTACCAGGTGTTGCTGGACGGGACCTTCTGCCAGGCGGCTCTGAAGAACCAGATCCAAATCAAGGAGCAGCTCCCCAAATACATGATGGGCGATATACAACTCTGCACCACCCAGTAAGTGTCATTGTAGTACGGCTCCGTACCGGCCAGGGGGCGCCCTTGTGGTCACTGCACTGCAAGATACTAGGTGCCGCTATAGTTACTCTACTGCAGTTCTCCACCAGCTGCTAGCTGTTGCTGTGTTCACTGTAGTGTAACTCTGCTAGGCGGCGCTATAGAGCCGTGTACAGGCAGTAAGTGCTGCTTTGCTCACTGTACTGCAATTCTCCCCCACCCATTAGGTGGTGCTATAGAGTGACGCATGACAGCCTGTGTGATTATTGTAGTGCAGATCTGCCCCCAGCCTGTAGGTGCTGCTATAGTGACTGTGCTGCAGTTCTTCCCCGGCAGCTAGGGTGGCATTGTAGAGCAGTGCGTAGTGCAGTATCCAGGTGGTGCAGCTGCAGAGCAGTGCAGGACCTACCTGCATGAGTAATGTGATTGTAAATGTTTTTTTAATTTTTTTAACCACTTCAAGTCCTGACACTTTCACCCCCTTCCAGTCCAGAATGACAATTGCGCCGTCATGCAACACTGTACGCATATGAATTTTTGAGCATTTTTTTGAGACAGATAAAACTTTGTTTATTCACCACTGGGATTTTTATTTTTTGCTATATAAATGAAAAAGTTCAAACATTTTGGAAAAAAAAGTTTTTCTTATAATATTTTGCAAATAAATCTTTCTTCATAAATCTTGGCCTAAATGTAGTCATATCTTTTTAGTAAAAAAATAAAATAACCCAAATTAGTTTATAACCAAAAATTATAAGTTTTTCAAAAAATGTTTTTTACATTTTTCTTTTTTTAATTATTTTACATACTGTCACCCTAGCAGTGCAGTGTTACCATAGTGGTACTGTACTACTTGGGGTGATGAAGATTCTTTTTTTTTCTTTTTTTACACTGATTGCTTTTACACCCATAAAGGCTGTAAAAGCAATCATTTCTCCTCTCTAGCTGCATTCCTGCAGCCATTGAGAAATACTGTGAGCTGTGATTGGTCACAGCTTGTCACATGGTACATAAAGTGATCATAAAGTGATAGCCTTGTACCATGTGACCTCTGTGATCACTCACAGATTTCACTAGTAGTAAGCAATGGTGTCAGAAGTGACATCTTGTTTACTACTCTTCATGTGTTCACTGATTGTCCAATTAGTGATCACTTGATTGGGACATCACACAGAGGCCCGTACAGCGATCTGTGTTCCGTTGTGTCCGGGGGACACAGCAGGCACCGATCGTGGTGCCGCACGCTCCCAGGGAGCGTGCATGGGCAATGGATGCGGGGGGACATTTAGAAACGTCCAACCGCATTGGCAGTGCTCCCGTCTGGCCGTTGATATACATGGGCCGGACGGGAAGAGGTTAAATATCAAACATGTTATACTTACCTGCTCTGTGTATCGGCTTTGCGAGGAGCCCTGATCCCCTTCTGGGGTCCCAGGCAGGTACTTTTGGCTGCTCCCCCTGCTTAGTGTCCTCATAGCAAATCATGAGCTGTGCTCTGTGTGTGTATAGAGACACACAGTGTTTCGGCTCTGCTTACAGGCCGTGATTGACAGCAGCAGGATCCAATGAGGAGAGAGCTGCTGGTCTTGGGAATGAATGTACTAAGCAAGTCAGAATTTGTCACTGATGGGTGAATGTTTGTGACAAACGTCCAAAATGATGCAAATAGACCCCTAAGTGGTGTTGTGGTATAATGGTGTCTACCACTGGAGTGCAGATCTGCCCCTGCCAGTAGGTACCTCAGTAAAAGCATGCAGTACAGTCCTCCACCAGTACTAGAATACAGAATGTATGAGTCAGTAAGGCTAGGTGCACACCTAGGGGTTTCGCAGAAACGCACTACAGTCCATTGAACATGATTTCCACATTCACATATCCTCATTTTCACCCGGTGTGATTTTTGGAAAGGGTCATGGACTTTTATAAACGTTGCATTTTGGTTCAATAGACTTTGTGGAGTCTTGCCCCCTGGTCTCCTCCTCCCACGCACGTCTGCAAGACTTCTCCAGGTCCTCCCCCATCCTCTGGAACTCACTACCCCAATCCATCAGACTGTCACCTTCCCTCCTCACCTTCAGGCGCTCCCTGAAAACCCACCTCTTCAGGGAAGCCTACCCCACCCTCACCTAACTGCCGTTCTCCTTCATTCCTCCTACCACTCCATCCCCCACAGCCACTTCCTCCTGTACCACTACCCCCCCTCCCTCCTAGATTGTAAGCTCGAAAGAGTAGGGCCCTCTAACACCTCGTGTGCTGTTTGTAGTTGCTGTACTGTTTCATGTATTGTCCCCCCCTCTATTGTACAGCACTGAGCAAACCCTTTTGGCGCTATATAAACTCAATGTAATGTAATGAGACGCAGAAATGCATGTAGTGCGTTTTTGATGCGTTTTATGTTTTTAATCTGCCCAGCAACAAGTTAGCCAAAAAAAAACAAAACTGCAAAACACATAAAAAAATACACTGCAGAAACGGATCAAACGCAAACCGCATAGATGTGAGCTTAGCCTAATGCAGGCCATAGACGGGTCAAACATCGGCTGATTTTTCGAACGATAAACGAAAAATCAGTCGTACGTTCGGCCGACGTTACCACCAACGATTAAAAAAATCGTCCGACTAAATCGTAAAGTTCACCCCATAACTTCTGTCCCTTGCAGGTCACAGCTCATGCACAGATTTTTTATCGTTAAAATTATCGTCTGATTTGGCCATCATTACTGGGAAAATCGGCCGATCGTCCAAATCGACCGCAAATTTCCCAACATTACCATTAATCTGAAGGTGCAAAATACACAAAAAACGGCTGACGAACTAATCCACTAACGGTACGAAAATCGGCCGATTTTTCTTTCGGCTGAAAAATCGGACGATTAACGACCCATCTATGGCCTGCATTAGTCCCCGGTCACACTAGGCACAACTTGGCATGCGATATGCATTCCATACAACTTGCAAATCACATGGCAAGTCGCACCCTATTGTTCGAAATTGCTGTGATCATATCAGTGCGGTTCTGACATGGTTGGAGCCGCACTGTTTTCTAAAGTAATGCATGCACTGCTTTTGGTGCGATTTGCATAAACATCTGTGTCAGATGTCTTGCAAATTGCAACTTGAATTGGCGTGTCATCCGGCTTTGGAATCGTGCGACTTCACTGTAAGTTGGGATTGGTGTGACCGGGGTGTTACTATATTACAGATTTGCTCTGGACAATAGATGGCGCTGTAATCATTGTAATTTGGCTCTGCTCCAGCAAGTAGGTGGCGCTGTGGTCACTGTAGTGATCTGCTCTAGCCAGTAGGTGTTTACATACAGCAATACAGTATGGATCTCTAACTTTAACCCCTACCTGTGCCGCCATTCGCGGCTTCGGCTGTCAGTCACCGAGTCCCGGCTGGTGATTACTCGCCAGCACCCGGTGATCGCTGAGTACCTCTGACGGGGGAGAGACCTGTGTATAAACAACATAGATCTCTCCCCTGTCAGCTCCTGCACACTGCTTTGTATGGCTCTGCATAGCAGAGCCATACAAAGCAGTGTGCTTACAGTGAAACACACAGCCCAAGTAGTGAAACAGCACACAGTTAACCCTTTGATGGCCCCTCATGTTAACCCCTTTCTGCCCAGTGCCATTAGTACAGTGTCAGTGCTTTTTATTAGCACTGATCATTGTATTGGTGTCACTGGGGATGTCAGTGACACCAAGTCAGTTCCCCCCAGTGTCAGAATGCCCTCTGCAGTCCCGCTAGAACTTGCTGATCGCCGCTATTACTAGTAAAAAAAATAAAAAATAATAATAAAAATTCCGGTATCTGTACCGCCATTTGTAAACGCTATAACTTTCACGTAAATCAATTCATTTACACTTATTGGGATTTGTTTTTTAGCAAAGACATGGAGCAGAATACATTTTGTCCAACATTTTATGAAATTAGATTTTTTACATTTTTTTATTGGATATGTTTAATAGCAAAAAAGTCAAAAATACTTTTTTTTTATTCCCTCAAAATTTTTTAAAGCGAAAAAAATAAAAACCGCACAGGCGATCAAATACCACCGAAAGTAAGCTCTATTCACGGGGGAAAAAAAGGATGTAAATGTTATTTGGGTTCAGCGTTGCATGACCGTGCAATTGTCAGTTAAATTAACGCAGCGCCGTAATGCAAAAAAAATGGCTTGCTCAGTTGGGGGGGGGGGGGGGGGGTAATCCTCTAGGGGGGCAGGTGGTTAATAATACGCCTTTGCTGCACTGTAGTCACTGTAGTAGAGCTTGGCATTAATCAGCAGATGGTAATTCTTCCAGCAGTCAGTGATTGTCCATATAGTATAGCTCCTCACAGTAGGTTGTGCTGTAAAGCAGTACAGAGCAGCTGAGCACAAGTTAGGAGGCTTTGTACAGTACACTATGGCAGGGGCGGACTGACAACTCATGGGGCCCCCGGGCAGTAGGGGATCATGGGGCCCCTGTGTCCTTGCCCAAACTCAAAAAAGCCTATGTAAAAGGTACCAGGAGCACCTCATGGAGCCCCCTACTGAACCCGGGCCCTCGGGCAGTGCCCAAGTTTCCAAACGGTCAGTCCGCCCCTGCACTATGGTGTGGTGCTGTAAGTACATCCATGCAGCAGTCAGGGCCCATTCATACCAGAAACTGCAAGTAACTGCATGTTTCTTCCTGTGCTTTCCGGTGACGTGTGTTTTACATGCGTGTTCTGAAAAAAAAAAATCATAAAAAAAGTAATAAGAAATTATAAAAAAAAAAAAAATAGAAGTGTGTGTGTGTATATATATATATATATATATATATATATATATATATATATATATATATATATATATATATATATATATATATATATATTTTTTTTTTTTTTTTTCCCGTACTGTCCCCAGTGTCCCTGATTACCGCCACACCAGTTATTTGATGTTGTACTGGACTGGTGACATACATTTTGGATGTCCACTGACATGCAGTGTAGTGCACGTTAAAGCGTACTGCATTTTCACAAGATATCCTGTGCATTGTGTTGATAGCCGCTTATGTCCACCTACATCCATTGTGGTGCGCTAAAATACATCCATGTTGGATTTTAGCACAACGCAGGTCAACGCAGCATTATGGTGTGAATAAGACACATTGGACATTTGTTTTTTAGATGTCCTTCCGTTGATCTGCTTTTTACAGCTGCGCTAAAACATAGATCAACACACTGGTGTGAATTGGTCCTAAGTGGTCTTGTAGCAGCCTGCAGGTGTCTCCGCTGTACCGTAAGGCTTTGCACCAGTCTGTACATGGCAACAGAGGGATCGGTAGATCTGTGCTGCATCCAGTGCGTGGAGGGATCAGTAGATCTGTGCTGCATCCAGTGCGTGGAGGGATCAGTAGATCTGTGCTGCATCAGTGCGTGGAGGGATCAGTAGATCTGTGCTGCATCCAGTGCGTGGAGGGATCAGTAGATCTGTGCTGCATCCAGTGCGTGGAGGGATCGGTAGATAGGTGCAGCATCCAGTGCGTGGAGGGATCGGTAGATCGGTGCAGCATCCAGTGCGTGGAGGGATCGGTAGATCGGTGCAGCATCCAGTGCGTGGAGGGATCGGTAGATCGGTGCAGCATCCAGTGCGTGGAGGGATCGGTAGATCGGTGCAGCATCCAGTGCGTGGAGGGATCGGTAGATCGGTGCAGCATCCAGTGCGTGGAGGGATCGGTAGATCGGTGCTGCAATCCAGTGCGTGGAGGGATCGGTAGATCTGTGCTGCAATCCAGTGCGTGGAGGGATCGGTAGATCTGTGCTGCAATCCAGTGCGTGGAGGGATCGGTAGATCTGTGCTGCAATCCAGTGCGTGGAGGGATCGGTAGATCTGTGCTGCAATCCAGTGCGTGGAGGGATCGGTAGATCTGTGCTGCAATCCAGTGCGTGGAGGGATCGGTAGATCTGTGCTGCAGTCCAGTGCGTGGAGGGATCGGTAGATCTGTGCTGCAGTCCAGTGCGTGGAGGGATCGGTAGATCTGTGCTGCAATCCAGTGCGTGGAGGGATCGGTAGATCTGTGCTGCAGTCCAGTGCGTGGAGGGATCGGTAGATCTGTGCTGCAATCCAGTGCGTGGAGCTGTATGTAGCATGTTCTTCCACCCGTCACTGAGCTCTGCTATATAACACCATGTGTCTCGTCTGAGTTATCAGTTTTGTAAATAATAATTGTTTTCAATCGAGGCTCCTGGTAATCGGCTCATTTTCTGTTTCAGCTGTGTTTTGAAGGAACTGGAGTCCTTGGGGAAGGATCTGTATGGAGCCAAGTTAATTGCCCAGCGATTTCAGGTGCGGAGCTGCGCTCATTCGAAGAGCCCCGTCGGCGGCTCAGCATGCCTGTTATCCATGATCGCAGACAATAACCCGCACCACTATTTCATCGCCACACAGGTATGCCTGATGTATCATTTGCAAAAAGTTCACTCCTGGGGTGGGCCAGCAAGATTTCTTGTTTGATTTTTGTAGCTGAGAAGCAGAGCATCCTGGGAGTTAAATTAAAGACAACAAGGCGCTGGGGTTGAGTAAAATCAAAGCGCCTCGAAGGAACATTTTCCTCTTTGATACAATGAGTTCCTGCAAAGCCTATACGTTAAGCAGGACTTTATTTGAATGGAAACTTAAAGGATTGTTAGAGTTTCTGGGGTGGATAGAGAGTCGCAGAGCGGCTGAAATACATCATTTATCTGCATTGATCAATCCAGGCTCAGCTCAAGGGTTTTCTGTGTGCCCTGTTCACACCATGCATGTGCGGCGTGTACAACTGCAGCACACGGCAACACACTGCAGTCTGATAGTGTGACCGAAATGTCATTTTGTTACATTAAAAAGAAAAAATTATTTTAATGTAACAATACTGCGCACCACCTACGCAACTCGCACCAGTGGGCATTCGTTATACCGGAGTATATAGCCGCAGGTACCAACAGGCCCTTAGGGCTGGTTCACACCACATGCAATGGGACTGTGTTGGGAGGCAATTCCAGGGCAGTCCCACTGCATGGACAAGGCAAAATGCATTGTCTCCTATAGGTGTGAAACAATCGGCATGATTGATTATAATAGATTATAAAATTAGTTGTCAGCTATTTATATTATTGATTAGTAGGCCTGCATACAGAATGCATTATTCATACATGTCAATATACACAGTGCAGCACACATACTGTACAGCTCAGTACACCCGTCATACATGTCAGTATACACAGTACAGCACACATACAGCTCAGTACACCCATCATACATGTTAGTATACACAATTCAGCACACATACTGTACAGCTCAGTACACCCATCATACATGTTAGTATACACAGTAAAACACACATACAGCTCAGTACACCTGTCATACATGTCAGTATACACAGTACAGCACACATACAGTTCAGTACACCCACCATACATGTCAGTATACACAGTACAGCACACATACAGCGCCGTAAACCTGCCATACATATCAGTATACACATTACACCCCACATACAGCTCAGTATACCCGCCATACATGTCAGTATTCCCCATACAGCACACATACAGCTCAGTACACTGTCCATACATGTCAGTATACACAGTGCAGCACACATACTGTACAGCTCAGTACACCGTCCATATGTGTCAGTATACACAATGCAGCACACACACAGTACAGCTCAGTACACCCATCATACATGTTAGTATACACAATGCAGCACACATACAGCTCAGTACACCGTCCATACATGTCAGTATACACAGTGCAGCACACATACAGCTCAGTACACCGTCCATACATGTCAGTATACACAGTGCAGCACACGTACAGCTCAGTACACTGTCCATACATGTCAGTATACACAGTGCAGCACACGTACAGCTCAGTACACCGTCCATACATGTCAGTATACACAGTGCAGCACACGTACAGCTCAGTACACTGTCCATACATGTCAGTATACACCGTGCAGTACACGTACAGCTCAGTACACCGTTTATACAGTAAGTTTCTGAGAACATGTAAATGTGTGAGGAGCAAATGTCTCTCAATCTCTTGAGACATGTAGTCCTTTGCAGGAAAAGGTAGCGGTTTAACCACTTGCCCTCCAGAGGATTCCCCCCCCCCTTCCTGACCAGGCCATTTTTTGCGTTATGGCATTGCGTTACTTTAACTGACAATTGCGCGGTCATACAATGCTGAACCCAAATGAAATTGTCCTTTTTTTTTTTTTTTTTTTCCCCCAGGAATAGAGCTTTTGGTGGTATTTGATCGCCTGTGTGTTTATTTATTTTTTGCACTTTAAAAAAAATTAAAAAGACCAACCATTTTGAGAAAAAAAAACTATATTTTTGACTTTTTGCCATTAACCACTTGCCCTCCTGAGGATTTATCCCCCCCCCTTAATGACCAGGCCTCTTTTTGCTACTCGGCGCTGCACTAATTCAACTGATAATTGCGCGGTCATGCAATGCTGCAGCCAAACGAAATTTACGTCCTTTTTTTCACACAAATTGAGCTTTCTTTTGGTGGTATTTGATCACCTGTGCGCTTTTTATTTTTCACGCTATAAACAAAAAAAGACCAAAAATTTTGAAGAAAAATGATATTTTTTTTACTTTCAGCTATATATAAATATATAGTAAACTCAAAGTTGGTTATAAATTTAAGCCAAAATGTATTCTGCTCCATGTTTTTGATAAAAAAAAATCCCAATAAGTGTATATTGATTGCTTTGTGTGAAAGTTATAGCGTCTACAAACTATAGTATAGATACTGCAATCTACGCCATTTTTTTGCTATACAGCGCTGCGCTAGTTTAACGGACAATTGCGCGGTCATGCAATACGGTACATAAATGAAATTTATGTCCTTTTTTTCACACAAATAGAGCTCTCAGTGATATTTGATCGCCTGTGCGTTTTTTTTTTTTTTTTTTTTTTTTTTTTTTTTTTTGTGCTATAAAAAAAAAAAAAAGGCTGACAATTTTGAGGAAAAAAAACAATATTTTGGACTTTTTGCTATGAAACATGTCCAGTAAAAAAAAAATGTAAAAATCTAATTTCGTCATAAATTTTGGCCAAAATGCATTCTGCGACATGTCTTTGCTGAAAAAAAAAAACCCAATACGTGTAAAATTAATTGGTTAACGTGAAAGTTATAGTGTTTACAGATGGCAGGAAAGATACTCGGATTTTAAATTTTTTTTTTTTTTTTTTTATAGTAATAATGGCGGCGATCAGTGACTTATGGTGGCGATCAGCGACTTGTGGCAGGACTGTGGCGGACATTCTGACACTGGGGGGAACTGACTTGGGGTCACTGACATTTCCAGTGACACCAATACAGTGATCAGTGCAAAAAAAAAAAAAAAAACACTGACACTGTACTGATTATAGATCCTCCTGCGCTTCTATGGATAGTTCCCCCTCCTAATAAGTAAGCTGCTGACACTCCCAACCAATAACCTAATCAGTGTAAAAATCTGTATACATTAGTGTAGCGCTCTAAGAAATGTCATAAAAACCATAAAAAAATAAAAAAATAAAAAATATTAAATCAAATGTGACCAGTGCTGTAATCTCCACAGTGCTCTTATGCCACTAATAGCACTAGAAACGGACAAACCCAACAATATCAGAATATGCAGTATACAGTATATATTAAATGTGACAAGTGCTGAAATCTTCTCAGTGCTCTAGTAATACTGAGTAAAAAATAAAAAGATAAAAAAATAAGATAAAAGTGATAGTGTCACTCCAAACGATAAATAAATCAAATAGGTAACAGGTGACAGTGCCACTTCAACTTCATTCAATGTCCAATTTTCCTTATTCGCATTCTTCTATTTAAAGTGTTCTTGATAACCATGCATAGTGTGTATAGGTAGTGCCACACGTGAACCAACACACTCTTATCCACTTTGCTGAAATGCCTGCTCACCTCCTTCCTGCGACCCCAAGGGGCCCACAAGCCTTTAGGATCACCCTGGATCCTCAGGATTCCTGGTAATGGCACCTTCCTGATATTCCTCCTATCAGGTCTCCTCCACTCCTTCACTGCTATGCCTCCCAGATTCCTCACCACCGGTTGTCTGTAAGCTCTCTCTCACAAAGACAGTGAGTAGAAAAACAGATCCTCCATTGTGTAGTATTTTCCAATCAAATAGGGTTTATTAATAAATAGTAGTAACAGGTGACTTACATTCTGTTTGCACAGTCCCAATGTATTCCTCTCAGGGTAAAAACTGCAACCTCTTAGTAATGACTTCCTGATAACCAGGAAAAATGGCGTCCCACACCGGAAGTGCGACACTCCGGATACCGGAAGTAGCGTCTATGTTTTGCCTTGCCTGGGCAAAACATAGACGCTACTTCCGGTATCCGGAGTGTCGCACTTCCGGTGTGGGACGCCATTTTCCTGGTTATCAGGAAGTCATTACTAAGAGGTTGCAGTTTTACCCTGAGAGGAATACATTGGGACTGTGCAAACAGAATGTAAGTCACCTGTTACTACTATTTATTAATAAAACCCTATTTGATTGGAAAATACTACACAATGGAGGATCTGTTTTTCTACTCACTGTCTTTGTGAGAGAGAGCTTACAGACAACCGGTGGTGAGGAATCTGGGAGGCATAGCAGTGAAGGAGTGGAGGAGACCTGATAGGAGGAATATCAGGAAGGTGCCATTACCAGGAATCCTGAGGATCCAGGGTGATCCTAAAGGCTTGTGGGCCCCTTGGGGTCGCAGGAAGGAGGTGAGCAGGCATTTCAGCCAAAGTGGATAAGAGTGTGTTGGTTCACGTGTGGCACTACCTATACACACTATGCATGGTTATCAAGAACACTTTAAATAGAAGAATGCGAATAAGGAAAATTGGACATTGAATGAAGTTGAAGTGGCACTGTCACCTGTTACCTATTTGATTTATTTATCGTTTGGAGTGACACTATCACTTTTATCTTATTTTTTATCTTTTTATTTTTTACTCAGTATTACTAGAGCACTGAGAAGATTTCAGCACTTGTCACATTTAATATATACTGTATACTGCATATTCTGATATTGTTGGGTTTGTCCGTTTCTAGTGCTATTAGTGGCATAAGAGCACTGTGGAGATTACAGCACTGGTCACATTTGATTTAATATTTTTTATTTTTTTATTTTTTTATGGTTTTTTTTTATGACATTTCTTAGAGCACTGACACTGTACTAATGGCACTGGGTAAGAAGGGGTTAACTTTTTTTATTCAGTGAAAGGATTAACTGTGTGAGGAGTGTTTACTAGGGGGCGGGGGTGTGTACTGCACGGGGACACGCTGATCGGGAGAGAAACTCTTCTCTCCTGATCAGCGTGTCAGGAGCTGTCAGGGAACTGACAGAAAGCAGAGCTACTGCAGCCCTGCTCTCTGTCAGTGATTG